CTGCTTTCAACAAGTTGCAACGAAAATGTGTGGTGGTAATGAACAATTCACCATACCATGCGGCCAGTTGAAAAACCACCTACATTTTCTAGCAGAAAAAATCAAATGCAAGAGTAGTTGGGCAATCACTAATCACAATATTGAATGTGATCAAAATTTTGCAGAAAAACAATTGTTGGATTTATTCAACCTTTTACAACTGATCGAAAAAACTATTTTTGACAGACGACACATTACGGGAAAGTGAGGTTCTTAGATTCCCCCATACCATTGTCAATAAAACCCTAGTGAAATGGCGTGCGTTTTTTTAAATCCTAAATACTATAACAAGCACATAACTTTTCGGCCTTCATCCAAAAATAAGGTCGAGAATTTATGGTTTGAAGCTGTTTCCAAATGTACTCCAGAGACCCACAAAACATTACTGAACCCTAAATGGGAGTGAGTGTACAGTGCACTTAGCTCAGTATATAGTTAAATAGTGAGTGTTTTTTTCGAAAAATTGGTTCATTAGTTAACAGTTTTTTTCTGAATCGTGAGCGCGTTAAGAAATCAGCCAGAATCGTCCATTCGTAGTGAGGTAACAACTTTAACCTCATTTGATAGTCAGCGAACGTTTTTGTTCACAAAAACTTTCCAGTAGATATATACTGGTTTTTATTGAACAAAATTAAGCAACCAGCTTTACTATGCACCTGCTCTGGTTGTGTCCTACCTATCCACCGATTTGATCTACAAACATGAGTTCATCCCCTACTACTGCTAATCACGTTAGCTTCCCTAAGAAGGACCAAGCTGTTGTACTCAATTCCGTTAATGAGACGAAATTAACTGATTATGTTGTCGCTGTTGGTAGTTTAGTCCAGCCCAAAAACGTCCTCTTCGCTTCAAGAATAGCGAACAACCGAATTTGTATATATCTAAAGGATAAACTTTTAGTAGACGAGCTTGTGACGAAATATTCTTCATTAACTATTAACAATCAAGAAGTTGGGATTCGACGTCTGATTACACCCGCACAGCGAATAATTATTTCAAACGTATGTCCTACCATCCCCCATGACAGCATCCTCTCTGTTATCAAAACGCTAGGTTACAAACCCGTCTCTCCTGTGTCCTTTTTAAGGGCAGGGATTCAAAATGAGGAGTATAGTCATGTACTCAGTTTTAGACGTCAGATATTTGTCACGCCGGATGAGTCGATTGACTTACCTTCGTCTTTGGTGATAAAACATGATGGTACAAATTATCGCATCTTCCTTACTTACGACGACCAAACTTGTTTTAAGTGTCATTTGACTGGTCATATAGCCAGCCAATGTACCAGCCAACCCCAGGAAATTACAGACCCCAACATTTTGAATAAACCTACACCTACAAATGTCCAAGATGAAGTTACCACCAGAAACGCAAATGCGCCGACAAATGAAACAATGGAAACTGAACACGTGCCTGAAAAAGCTAGACCCTCTCTTGAAGTATCCGCAAACAAAAGATCAAGTTCTAACGCTGAGTCACCTGAGGCTGAACATTCGATCCCTAGCAGTGAAAACAGTTCTTTTGATCGAGCGTTTAAAAAGGTTAGAACCAGTGATTCCACCGAGAGTTTGACGGGCACATTTGAATTATTGGAACCTGCGCGTAGTTTATGTGAAGTAGCCGATCCGCCTTTTGTTCTAGAGTTTTCCGAATTGGTTAAATTTATGGAAGATGTCGTAGGTGAATCTGACGTTTTAACCATTGCTTTTAACTACACTAGTGACATTGTCGGCCTTCTGGATGAACTTCATCAAATTTATACCTCGCTTTCTCATACCAGTATACGAAATCGTTGTTTGAAAGTACAGCGGAAACTTAAAAAGGCTTATGCCCGCCACCAGACTTGTAGTATGGAGAGTAACAATGATCCAGATACTTATTAGTTTTTTTTTTTTGTTTTTTTTTCTTTTCTCTTCAAATTCATGGATGCCACTGAACCCTCTGCTTCTTTGTTTTTGTGTCCTCTTATGTACTGTAACACCGCGTCGTTATATGCAAAGTTTAATGAGTTCTCTGCTTTTGTTTTAGTCAATAAGCCTTCAATTATTTTAGTTAGTGAAACGTGGCTAAACCCTAAGTTACCTGTTGCTTTAATATCATTGTCTGGCTATCATCTATTTAGAAAAGATAGGCAATTTAGTAGAGGAGGAGGAGTTTGTATATATGTATCTGACCATGTGATGTCTAACTTCACAATCACTATCATAGATACACCTACGTTAAACATCGAGTCCTTAGTTATAAAGCTTTCTAACCGTTCCTTAACGCTTGCTCTGGGTTGTATTTACAGGGCTCCGTCGACTGATTTTGTGAGTGATTCCAAACTTTTTGACATAATATCTAACTTGGCGAACGATTATACTAACCTTCTTATCTTTGGCGACTTTAATATGCCTGACTTGAGTTGGCCTTTAGCAACGCTAGTATCTTCGAATCCTTCTTATCAGTTGTTATTGGATGTGTTAAACGATTCTCACTTGTGTCAACTAGTTACTCAACCAACCAGGTATAGAGTCAATCAACAGCCCTCGGTTTTAGATCTTATTATTTCTTCCAGCCCCGACCTGCTCTCTAATTTAGAGTTTACTAGTCCGATTGGTAAATCAGATCATGTAACGATTATGGCCAACCTACAAGTCAGCTTTCCTACTCATAATAGGATAATTTCATTCACGCGGTCGATCACTAATTATCGTATGTTAGAAAATGATTTGGTCGAAACTAACTGGGAAGCATTATTAATGCACGACACCGTAGAGGAAAACTGGGAAGTCTTCAAATCACATTTACTTGAGTTGTCTAGTCAAAATTCTGTATCTAGAACATTCACCCGATCGGCTAAAAAACCATGGATAAACCACCAGATATTACAGATGGTTCGGCGCAAGAAAATCTTGTGGAAAACATACAAACGAACAGGTAACGAGATGGATTATGCAGCTCATAGGACGTTTTCTAATTTATTAGCATCGAAGATTAAAGATTCCAAGGTGGCTTATGAAGCTCGTCTTGCTAACAGTAAAAACCCAAAATGCTTCTATAAATATATTCGAGATACTCTTGGTGGATCCGTAAGGACACCTCAAATTCAAAATTCTGTTGGCACTCTAATCACGGAAAATGAAGATATTGCTAACGTTTTCGCTGACTCGTTTGCAAATCAGTTCATCATAGAACCGTTACATAGTCCCCCAGATATCGCAGCGCCTCAATGTAGTGTATCTTTATCTAGTGTTGATTTTATTGAGGATGAGATCCGTGTGAAGCTGCAGAAGCTAAAGAAAACCAAATCTCCTGGACCTGATGAGATATCCGCTGCCATTTTGAGTGAGTATGCTTCTGCCTTAGCAAGTCCACTGAGTTTGCTTATGCGTCAATCTCTAAATAGCGGGGAGGTGCCGGAAAACTGGAGAGTAGCTACAGTTAAACCAATTTTCAAGAAAGGTAATAAACTTGACGCCGGAAACTATCGTCCAATCAGTTTAACATCCACAGTTGGTAAGGTTATGGAATCCATCATCAACGATCGTATGATGGAGTTCCTTCTGGACAATAAAGTTATTCCTTCTCAACAGCATGGATTTATTCCTGGCAGGTCCGTATCCAGTAACCTCCTTTGTAGCCTCAATGATTGGAGTAGAGAGTTAGACAGCGGCAATCCCGTCGATGTTATCTACTTTGATTTTTCCAAGGCTTTTGACAAGGTTCCCACTCGTCGTCTGTTGCATAAATTGGAAAGTGTTGGTATCAGGGGTTCTTTGCTAAGGTGGATTCAAGGATTTCTATCCTACAGGACTTTTAGGGTAAAAATTGGCAGTTCCTTTAGTTCTCAACGAGAGGTGTTAAGCGGAGTTCCACAAGGTTCTGTTCTGGGCCCCCTTCTTTTTACTATTTATACAGCCGATCTTGCCCGAGTTATTAAGTGTCCATTTACATTATTTGCAGATGATCTGAAAGTGTATAATACCTGTGTTAACTGCGATCTTATAAATGCTGATGTTAATACTGTTTCAAAATGGGCGCATGAATGGCTTCTTCCTCTGAACAGAGACAAGTGTTGTATACTCCACCTTGGCAGCAATAATCCCAAGCTTAAATATTACCTTGAATCGCATTTATTAAAGGATGTTGACTCGCAAGTTGATTTAGGTATAACTATCACGTCCGACTTATCCTGGTCGGCACATATTTTAAGTGTTGTCAAAAAAGCCAACACTGTTGTGTATCTAATGCAAAAAGTATTCTCCAACGCATCCCCAGCAACGATAGCAAAATTGCATAAGTCCTATGTGAGACCCCTACTCGAGTATGGTAACGCTGTTTGGCACCCTGTTCTAATTAGAGATAAGCAGGCGATAGAATCTGTGCAACGCCGTATTACTCGTATCCCGTTCAGTTTTCGTCGTCCTAAATACGAAGATAGGCTTAAAATCATGATGTTGCCTACAATGGAATATCGGAAAATCCGGGGTGATGCAATAACAACTTTTAAAGCTGTCAGCAATGTAGGATCACCTATCCGTTTACTCTTCTCCATCTCTGTGGATTTTCGAACTCGCGGACATCTGTTTAAACTGCAGAAAGAGAATTTTCGAACCAGAAGCAGGCAGTTCTTTTTACCAAACCGAATTTTCAACACATGGAATTCAACTCCTTCTCATATTGTACAGAGTACTTCAGTAGCTAATTTCAAGATTGCCTTCGATGCCTTCCAGACTGACCAGTTTAGTGTTTAGAGTATTGGAAATATAAAGATTTATTTATATTAGAAGTAGATTTAGTTTATATTTAGTTAGTATCTGCACTGTTCCTTGGGCATAACAGGACATTGTCCTCTGCCCAGTTAACTTTTTTAAATAAATAAATAAATAAATAAATAAATAAAAAAATTTTAGTAAAATTTATAGTAGGTAAAATTAAATTATATCAGTATTAATGTGATCCCTTTACTCTTATTTCAGAACTTTCGCTGAGCAGATTCAACGTCCCTTTGGATTACGTTATAATCCCTATACACAAAGTGTTGAAGTTCTTAGCAATGAACAAAAAATCACTGCTGTTGTTTCAGAACTTCGTGGAGACCTATGCATTGTTAACAGCGCTCTTAAGAAAATTAGCGCACGTAATTCAAACTTGAATATCGATAGAATTACAAGTTTACTGCAAACCGGACTTGCTGCTAAAAATGAAGAAGAAAGTAACTAAACTAGTAAACTCGCAATAATATGGGCGTAGCAGTGTGGTGTGTATATCTTTTTTATTATAATGTGCAAAATGAGTGCACTTGTTCAAATACGTTAAGTATAGCTTTCGTTGTTTTATGATAATGTATTATATAAACTATAATTCTTAGTAGTGTCTAGTGAAATAAATGAACCTGCATCATATTTTTTTTTATTAATTACTTACAAGCTTCCTACGCTAACGCTCGAACTAAGATGTTCTAGTTCTTGTCCTACTTACCTTTTACTACTTTAGGTGGATCCATTATTATCATTGTTTCTAGAAGAGAACCACGTACCCAGTATTGGACTATGTGCTTCTATACAATTTAAAACTCATTTACTGTGTACAATTTTGAAGTGATGTCATCACATTATTGGTGGGGATACTTACACAAATTTTGGTTGGCGTTTTACCATCTACATGATATTCCTAATCTAAACCCAAAATTTAACAACAGTCGGCCCAGTACTTTCGGAGATTATCTGTCTAATAAAAGTCCGGGACGGACAGACGGGCAGACAAACAGATAGACAGACAGACAAACTGAAACTGCAGACCTGACCTAATGAAAAGCCAAGAAAACGTAAAAGTAAAGAGTTGGCCGATGGACTGGTTCGGGAAGTAAAAATATTAATGCAATGATAAATTACAAGTAAAAACTCATCGTATTTTGCATATTTTGGGTAGAATTTATTCAGCAAAATTTAGAGATGACGTCTTAAATGTTTTGGGGGAATAAACAGTTATATTTTGATTCACAATTTACCATGCTTACATTAACTTTTAAATGTCTATAAAATTTCAAAGTTTTCAGTTTTGCAATTCTTGATTTATTCAATAAAATAAATTGAGTCACCCTGTATAAGCAAATCTAAAAAATATTAATGAAATTCCAAGTATAGACTGATCATATTTTAGATAGCATCTATTCGACAAAATTTTGAGCTGACGTCATCAATTTCTTGGAGGGGGATAAGTAAATACAGCGTGTTATTGAAAGGTACGTACAAAATAAAATCCGCAATTGGTCTCGAAGTATGGGTGCTAAAAGTTAAAAAAAGTTCAGGTAAAAGTGTTCTCCTTTTAGAGACAAAAATTATTAAAATTTATGTCCAAATTCATTGTACGCCTCTGATAAAAAGAACATCTTTTCGTTTCTATAGCAACATTGAGTCTTGACAAAAGTTTTATTGTTACAGTTGCTACGATTTACTAAAATAAATTAATTTTACCTATTTATCCTTCAGTAGGGTCTAAAAAGGTTGGATAAGCGTTAATTTTCCCTTATAATTTTGATAACACAAAATAAGTTTTTCAGACTTCTTAGACTTCGCGCATTTTGTTGTACATACCTTTCAATAACACCCTGTATATTTTGATTAAAAGTTTATCATGCTTATCATAACGTTAAAACATCTGCAAGATTGCAAAGCTTTCGGTTTTGTAAATTGAAAATTAAATTACAAAATGTTGTTTTATAATTTTCACTTTTTCCAAAAATCTGGACGTTTCGGGTAAAAACTCAATACAGAGTCATAAATTACATGTGTAGGACTATGTAATTTGATACAATTTAAAACCCATTTTCTATGTATAATTTTGAAGTGACGTTATGGCATTATTCGTAGGGAAAATTAGACAAATTTTGGTTAGTGTTTTACCATCTACATGATATTTCCAATATAAATACAAAATTTGACAACAATCAGCCCAGTACTTTCGGAGATTATCTGTCTAATAAAAATCCGGGACGGCAGACCGACGGACAGACAGACGGAAACAGGAAACCTAAACAAATATCAAGTTTTGACTCGCCAGAAGTATTTTAAAGTTTCAGTCTGCAAGGTTGTTTTGGAGGTAGTTTTTAAGGATTTCTCCGAACGAGTTTGCTTTGATTTGCTATTTTGAAGGTGGTTGCTAAAACTTCCTTCGAACAGGCTGAAATTTTGCATAATAATCTTCGCATTAAAAAATTCATGCATTCTCAATTCATAGGAGTATTTTTAACTCCCAGTCTGCAAGTCTGTTTTAAGGGTAGTTTTTAAATATTTCTCCGAACGGGTTAAAATTTTTTATCAACAATCTTCGTGTTGAAAAATAAGCGAATTTTGGCTTGATAGGAATATTTTTAAACCCCAGTCTGCAAGTCTGTTCGGGGGAGTGGTTTTTAAAGGTGTCTCCAAATGGGCTGAAATTTTGTATCTACAATTATCGTGTTAAAAGTTAAGCAAATGTCGAGTTTTTACTTGATTGGAGTATTTTTTATCCCCAGGTTACAAGTCTGTTCCGTAGCATCAATAGCTTTCAAGGTATTATTCCGAATGGATTGAAATTTTGTATCAACAATCCTCGTATTGATTAATAAGCAAATGTAGAGTTTTGACCAGATTGGGACATTTTTAACGCCCAGGGATGATTTTTAAGGGTTTATCCGAATGGTATAAATTTTTTTTCATCAATAATCCTAAAATACCCAAAAATTTGGTGTCAGCAATTCTCGTATAGGGAAATAAACAAGAATCAAATTAGGGAGCGATTCAAACATTTTTCAGTGCCAATCTGCAAGATAAACTGTAGTGTGTTAATTAGAAACGCCTATGTATAAACAAGCACTTGAAATTGCTTGTTTTTGGACATCGGAAGAATGTCACGTAAAAATTTCTTTGATTTGAATGAGTCTGTTGCCTCAAAACAGAGGATTAAAATTAATGACTTAGCCGCAGTCGAACAGAATGTTCTGAATATTATTATTATAATTTTTATTAAATAAAGACAGACGTATTCATACCTTTTCAAGAAAGTCGGGTGGGTTTTTAGTAATTTGATCAATAAAAAAATTGTCATGACCTAATAAACATTGATAATAAAGAACGCAAGAGAAAAATAAAATAAAAACGAAAGGCCAAGTTTGGCATCGAATGCGGAACCTCCGGTCAGCGTTCCGGGTTCTTACCCAATAAACTACGAACGGGATATCTTAGACTAATGGTAAAATGTTATTATACTGTGCATGTTTTTGCAAAAATTTCGACGGTTAGGGAAAAAACTCAAAGCAAATTCGTAGATCACACGTATAGGAGTCTATTGTTGTATAACAGCTAAATGAAATAAACATAGAATTATTTGAAATAACGTCATCAAATTGTTGGTGGGGATGATTAGCAAAATTTTTGTTAGCGTTTAATCATCCACATTTCTATAATATATAAAGTTTGACAATAATCAGTGCAGCAGTTTCGGAGAATGCGTGTCCAATAAAGTGGATACATACATCAGAAAGATAGACAGACTGAAACGGGAGACTACTTTTTGCGTACTGTAGGGTTCAAGAAACGTCGAGAAAATAGAAAAGTGGCCATTCGTTTGATGGACTCGATTACTATATTTCCTTAGCTTTTATGCTCGAGAAGTAAAAACAAAACGACTAAACGTTCCCAAGGAAAGTTCAGAACCAGCTGGTGGCAATTAGTGCCGGCTATCGGTTGCTTGGGAGTCTGAGTCGAAATTCAAAAGGGCCTGAACCATAGAGCAAAAAAAAACCTGGGCGTCAAGAACCTTCGGCTAAATGTTGAGGGGAGTGGTTGGACTTACAGCACTCCGCAAACCGACCTGAACGTACGAGTCAGAAAATGAAAAGAAAGGGAGAGAGAGCTCGATATAACGGGTGAGTTGTATAGTCACTATTTGCAATATGTATAGGTGGTTTAGCAACCTATCGCGAATGAAACTCAACTATGATTCAGAACACACTCGGGTACTTCAATCGGATGAATAAAACCCTAACTACAATTAAGTACAGATAAAGCACAACAAAGCCGCAGTCTCAAGGTCGTTTGATCAAACTACTTACGCGGGCAAAAGCAAAAAAACGCACTACCAAATAATGGAGAGCTTCACCAAAAACTATCATTCTTAACTCTTGACGAAGACATCAACTCGTGGCACAAGGATTCTAACCGACATTATGAATGGCCAAATCATTGCGAAACGGAAGTGAAAATTGGCAAAAATAGTTTCTAGAATGTTCCCTTGTGGGGTTGCTGGTCCTCCATCGGGTGCCTCCCCAGGTGGCGGATAGTGGAACGCCTCTCAGATATGAGTGGTACCGAGGAAATCAAATACTCGGGGCAGACCAAAACCAGCACACAAAGGACACGACGGTCTCCATGTTAGGAGCGGTAGTCCGACAGCGTCTGTTCTCCAAGTAGGAGCGGCTGAACACATAGTCAGGAAAGCAACGGGAAACTACCTGACTCATACAAATTCCCCAAGATATCACGATGAGCACACAAAATAGAACAATGGCCCTCAGTCCCGGGCACCCCTTAGATGGGGAGAGGGTGCGAAGAATCCCCCGGTTACCCAATAAAAACAAAAATGATTTTAAGATTCACAAGGAAAAAAGAATTGGCACATGGAATGTGAAAAGTATGTATCAACCTGGAAAAGCAGCGAATATAATAAAAGAAGCAAAACGACTTCAAATCGACATACTAGGATGCAGTGAAACAAGATGGCCAAATTCAGGTCAATGCACCATTAATGAGCATCACATATACTTTTCCGGAGACAATACTACCAAAAACAAAAATGGCGTAGCAGTAATTCTAAATGACCAAACCAACAAAAGTATAAAAGGATTTATCCCCATTTCAAGCAGAGTAGCATTGGTCAAAATCAAATCAAACCCTTTCGACACAAATATCATACAAGTATACGCACCAACAGCTAACAGTAATGAACAAGAAATCGAATAATTTTATGAAGAAATAAGAATAGCAACTAAACATACGAAGAAAGAAGAAGTTAACATCATCTTAGGCGACATGAATGCCAAAATTGGGCTGGGAAAAATAGAAGACGTGGTAGGAGATTTCGGACTAGGAACAAGAAACGAAAGGGGTGAACGTTTAATAGAATTTTGTCAAGAAATGAACTTCACCATTATGAATACCTTCTTTAAACTACCTCCCAGAAGGCTATATACCTGGAGAGCTCCTACAGACAGCAACGACAGAATCGTAAGAAACCAGATTGATTTTATAATGATAAACAAAAAATACCGAAACGCAGTAACTTCTTGCAAAAGATACCCAGGAGCAGACATACCATCGGACCACAACCTATTACTAGCACGTACTAAACTCCGACTAAAGAAGGT